TTATTATTTAAGATAAACAGATATTAAATAATTGATATGAATAAATAATGGGAGAAATAAACTTTCTTTTCTTGTAATTTTTTTATTATCTTCTCTTTCTTATTGACGTTGAAAATGTTGATAGAATTTAAGTGCCCGAAAAGAGTTAGAAAGAAGGAATTATACGAATAAAGATAACATTTGTGTTAGTAATATAAATTTAGTTTCGATGGATAACACGGAACAAATAGCAGTAAAAAAAACATCGGCATATTTTTATGGAAATCCTTGTCTAAAAAATATGATCAGAGGTGGCAAGTCAACAAGTCAGCAGAAATTTGGGACGGTATTTATAGTTGTAAATTATTTGCGAACTTTGATCCCTTTGGTTACTGCACACTAAACAAAAAAAAAAACGCTCGCAGTGTGCGACACGAAATTCCATCGTGTAAACATTGAAAATGGGACGCTCATCTAGAGCAGGATAAAGTATTACGTGCATCAAATTTAATCAAACAAATGAAGTAAACAATAATTAATATTTATATTGACTTTACGGCCACTGCACCGCCGCGGTGCGCCATATATAGGGTGAGTTACTTAACTGCGACGAATATATCCAGGATATATCCGTTGAAAGATTAAAAAACAAAATTAATAACAGATTCGTATTGATGGACTATTATTCAGCTGTTTAGATTAATATTTCTTGCTGCATGAAATAATTAGTAAATAAATAGTAAATAACGAATAATCAGAGATTCGCGAAATTGTGGGTATTTATCAAATAAAGACGGATTATGAATGCCGGTTTTAAAATAAATTTTAAATCTCGGCTTGAATGTTTTCTTATTTTTGGTAAATTCGTCAAGCGCCCATTAAAGTCGGGAATATCTTGTACAACAAATGATTTCACACACCTAGAAATATATGATGTATCGTTGCCCACATCCCGGCATCCTGTTCCTCCGCCCTGACTGACCCGACCCACCATTTTGCTCCTAATTCATCGCACAAGACACTCACTAGCACCACACTCGCTTAAGTACGATTCGATCGGAGAAACACGTGTTAACTAAAGCGATGCCGACGAAAGTCCGATTCAATATCTCAAGACGAGATATTCTCATAATTTCACACGCGTGATAATTAATACAACCGACACGTATCTTATGTCGTTCATCAGCCCCGGATATAACGACTCCATTAAGAAAAACATACGTAACACGTGAGAACAGATTCTACCAGATTCTCATCAAACGTCGTTAGCCGCAAGCCAATGACACATTCGGCAATCGAAAGATCACAACAAACAATTAACGCTTTGAAAACATCTCGAATCTTTAAGGCGAACGAAGTTATCAAGATAATACACAAACATACTGAGAGAAAAAATATCTAAGAAATAAAATGATTTTTATTCGGCGAATGTTAATAACATATTTACTTGTACTAATATACATGGTTTTTCATAGAGAAAAAATGTTTTCCAAATAACAAAACAAAACATTTTCTTAAATCTGTAGCTTCTCATGGACAACAAATATGTATTCTATATTTAAATAAAAGAATTTATATTTAAATAAATATGTTATTATAATAATATTCACCGAATAAATATTTTATCTTTTAGATATTCTTTTCTCAGTACATTAAAAGTATCTCTCATAACACTTAACGATCATCGTCGATTAATGTGCTGTTACTAATTAATGTCGCACTTTCGGTCGAATAGTATTTTCATATGGAATTATTGAATGTCTGGCTACGATGACAATTAGAAACTGACTCTAGAAAAGAATACAGTATGCAGCAACAATCAGCGATGAGATGTATAATTCCTTCATTTTTATATATTTTAAATCTCTATATTCTGTCAATTTTCAACGCGAGTTAAAAATAATAAAGAAATAATGAGAAAGATGAATTTATCGTTTTGTCTATCCACATTAATTATATTAACCTGTTAATTTTTGATAATTGTGTAATATTTACCCATCGCACACATATTCTGTCTCCAGTCGAATAAATTAAATAAGTAATATATTATTTATACATCGGAATTAAGAATTTGAAGATTTGATATAATTGCGAATATTACATAAATCTTAAATTGATTCTTTAAATTAAAACTTCGACGTGCAGAAAACCATGTTGCAGTAAATAAGCATTTATAGCATCAAAGAACAACAACCCCTGCGGTGTTACACTTCGAGATTGGTTCTTCAATGGAATATGGAATTCAATATGGAATTTATAGAGTTAACGTATATATGAAACCAGAATTTCAACTCAGATATTGCGAAATGACAGCTAAATTTGTAATTCGGCGACACGAAGAGCCACTATTCTTCGCCGCCGCTTTAATTAGCCCGAGAGCTCATTAACGAAATCGTCAGATTCGTTAAGATCTGCGTGCATAATTATTATTCAGTTATTCAGCTATTATTATTTAGTTATTCGGTAAAAAAGAAAACAGAACTGTTATCGAATCACATGTACACACGATTCACACTATACTTATAGCATTCGTCTCAATCAGTTTCGAATTAGTTTCCTCGCAGCGAAAAAATTCGATCGGTCTCTAATGAATTTCTTAATTCGATATATCTTATAATGACGAAAGCTTCGGTTAAAGTTTCATTGTACAGGTTCCACGAAATATGAGAGATACACACACGGGATAAAGAAAAGATTTTGTTATTTACTTCCCGTTCCCCCGAGATGTGTGGCTCTCGCAAGGGCCGTACATATATATTTTTCTCCCATCGGCTTCGATCGCGCGCGCCCGTAACTCGAAAAGTATCGACTCTCTCCGAACTTCCACGTGCGATAAAATCAACTTCAAATTGCTCAAAGAATAATTTCCCCCCGTTTACCCGGGCGGTTTGCAAAACACACCGTGCAGCGTTTGGCGATGGTGGCTACGCTGACAGTTCCGCACAATGTGTACGTGCAAGGTAGAAGCGTGTGTAAAATGATCGATTAATTCAACCCCCGCGGCTCTCCGCTTGTGCTAATTAATTCCGCTCGTCGTTTGAACACATCGTCGTCGTTTATAAATAGTTCGACTTCGTGATATCAATCCCCTCATCTCGCGTCTTACCAGCGTAATTTCGTCTTCGGTAGACACGACCGTATAACGGTCGATCGAAGGTCAGCTAATTCGCCCGTAATCTCCGCGCATTGATGAACGTTATAGAGGTAACAATGGCCCGGATCGCCGTTCGATACGTCGGCTGTTCTCTCTGTTCTGCGCCGATTCGTGGATTTTCGTCGTTAATTGATCGACGAGAGGAGACCTCGCGAAAATTGCACGTAAGCGAGCGGGCGATGAACGAGATAGAAAGAGAGATCGTCGCTCGTGCGTTATAAAAAGTATGCGCGATAAATCCGACGTAAATCCGCGATACATGTGCTTTATTGCGCCGCTAAATACCTCGACAACTACCTTTCTCTTGATACGCCCTTTAATGGAGCCGCGAATTGCGCGTGGCAAACATCGCCGTACTTCATTTCCGCGCGGTTTCCATGCGAGCACCCGTATTTTGCATTTCTGTTCGGCGCTTTGAATGCACGCACGTTGATTTCGGATTCTCTTTTCCGCCCGATACGTCGATTCGTAATCTCGACGTCCATGTGACGTGAAAATTAGGAAGAGCCGCGTTTAACGTTAAATCAAGGAGGAAGAACAATGCAGAGACTGGAAAAATTAGAGTTTTTTGTGAATTTTTTTAGGGAAAAATATATATATATATAAATGAAATTCGATTTTCATAGGCGCAAAGTCTATACTTTTATGTAAGTATGAAAAAAATCAGGCCGATATATTAATATTTCGATATCGAAAGCCATTCTCAATTAGAAGTAATGCAAATACTACATTTGTCATGTAACGTGTTATATTTAAATTATATTACTGTTATTTTTTGTCATAACTCGCAAATAACAAAGTAATATAAGCTCAATTGCGTTATCTCAACATAAATTAGGTACCACAGCCGTTATATTATATTACATTATATTATGTATTCTACATGATATAACAATTATATTCTGTGTTTACTGGAATGTAAATAGCGCTAACTTTGACTCCAATTATCTCAACTTCGGTATGGTCAATCTTTTCTAATTTTATACGTGTGTGAATCGTGTTTTAATAAAAAACATCAAGTTTAGAAAGATGCCTAGGAAAATTAACAGACCAACAACCTTAAAAGTAAAATGTCGCAAATAGAAAATGAGAATGCGTCCATTTCTCATGCAGGAAGCATTGCCAAATTTAAAATTAACCTCGAGCAACGTAATTCTGTGTGTTGCGCAGTGATACATGAAGGTAGAATACCAAATAAATATTTCATCTCGCAGAACGCGGTAGCCGTAATGCACACGTACACATTCACACACAGTATGACGCGCGTGCGCACACGCACACATATACATCGCGAGCAATAATGAATACAGCAACAACGCTGTAATATAATTTGCCACGCGTGGAACGTGCAAACAAAAGACCGCCAATTGTATATGCAGCGGCCGAGAGGAGTTTATTAACGTCGGATTTCTCTCTTTCTCTCTCGCTCTCTCTCACGCGATTTAGATTGTACGCGCGGTATCGTTCGCGTACGTGACGAAGTAATACGTTGCACTCAATTACGAGAATGTGCGCGAGGGCAATGCGGGAAAACATCTGAAATGTAGCAGCAACAGCCGTCGCTGTTGCCGTCGCGAAACGAAGCAGAGAGGCAATTTTTGCGTAGGTTCGTTTATTGAAATCCACTTGTACTATATAATCAAATTTCTTTAACGACGTCTCTGTGCGTACGGTCGCTGTTATACATCATCGAAAATAAATGCTATCTATCATTGATTTTGCGAAAAAATACGCCGAAGTATACCCGCAGTCGGTAGTAGTCGCCTCGGCTCGACGTTCAAACGCAATTTCGAGGATTCAGGTAGATATTCCTGAGCGTTGCGTATGTACAGTCTCGAAGGTACCGTAGAAAGAAAGACTCGTGGCGTAACGTTTGGAAATAGTGATATATCTCTTTCTCCTTCTCTTTTTCCTTCGATTTACATCAATGTCTCACATGCCGCAGAAGTGTTCGAATTTCGAATGGTACTTCCTAAATTATCGATTAAAATACATTTTTATGCACCAATATAACACGGTATCACCAATTTTGTCATGACTTCGTATATATAACACAATGTATGCGTTAGAAGGATATAATTAAACGTAATTAATTCATATATATACAACCCAAATAGTCTAAAACATCTTTTTAGATGACAAGAAACAAGTGTAATTACATGTATATATTATCACGATCAACGAGTCATGAATTATTGCACCTATTCATCATAGTCATATTTAGAATCCGCTCGGATTCGAAGTATATGCTAAAATAAATTATTTTAAAATGCAACATCTTCAGTATACTATTGACTGGAGATTATTTAAACGCATAACGTTGTGACTTTATTTGTGACTTTCAGTGATTGTTTTGCCAAACGTGTATAAATAAATAAAAGACTGAGATACTAGGCCTAAGCTTAGCGTTATCACATCCGCATGGAGTTCTGGTCAACAAATAAAAACGTACGTTTAGCAAACGCTTAAGGAAATAAAATTCTCGCAAACTGAGATTGAATTATCACTGAGATTAAATTATGCAGCCTGTAGTAATCTCGTAACTAAGTACATTATAAATCACAACGCAATCATTGATTAGACATACGAACAACTGATTGCCGAAAGACTAGCGACCTTCGGAAGTTCTGAATATCATCTACTTAGTGTCGCTCGACATACAGCCGATCGCTGCAAGTTACAATTGTACATTTATAACAATTGACAAGAATAGATGTTCCATTGTTACATATTGGCAACAAGTCTCTTAGAAATTACTCATATGTAAATAAGTACGACACATTCGCAAAATCCTCAGCTGTGTTCACGAGCATAATTTATAAATGAACTTGAGACGATCCGTGCGTCGATTAAAACGGTCTTACTGAACCAAAAATCCATATTTCCTGAGTATGGAACTGCTGTAAATGAAATCCCGCGTCAAGATGAATCGGGAGCAAATTCATATATGAATTGCATCGGAAGCGAGAAACGACCGACATATTAGAATTTAAATTATTAGGACGGCTTAATATTTACGTATGGATTCTATCTTATTAAATGAAAATGCATTTACAGTCTATAAAACTGTTCAGATTAGATCTCGCTCAATTCGTCGTAATCTTGCAAAATTGATTCATTGTTGCACCGGACCGACCGTAGTTTGATACGTTATAGACTGGACGCCTCTTCATCGGGAATATTATTTAGCTTGCCCTTCCAATAGTAAGTAGGCGGCCCTGTGGTGAAGCAATATTTCCGCTCGAGCGGAGTGTCATTCTCGACGTAATACATAATGTACATGTTACACATCTCGTCTTGATTCGTTTCGCCCACGACGGTGAACCTATCACGCGTACTTTCCATCGTGCAACGAGCCGCCAATATGTCGCCGTACGTGACCGGAACTCTGTTAGTTACCGGGTAAAACATCTGAGGCGTCAGAGGATCCCTCTTACCGAGTTCGATCCATTCGTCGTTCGGCTTCACCACGTAGCCCGATACTACTTTACCCAACGAGTGAGTGTGCGTTCTATATGCAAACGGATAAATAGTTTTGTTCTCTGTTATCAGGCACGACGACTCCATATGTACCGTTTTTCTAGGTGGAATGACACCACCTGTCCCTAACAGGATGACACCAGCCAGCTTGTTCAGCGGGTGCGTCGTGTAATGCAGAAACACACCTGAGTCATCTGTACTGCCGTCCTTGAAGTGATCAATATGTGCATAGTGCACCTGCAGCACTAAGTACTTTATGGGAGAGTCACCACCTACTTTGAAGCCTACTCCTTCTGGTAGATCCAACCTTGGAGCATCCCTCGCCCATGCGTAAATAACCTGTGACCAAATAGTTTTTGTCTTGCTCATGTATCCATGATAATTGTTTGATATACTGTGTGATATTGATTTTTACCTGAGATCCTTGACTACAAGGAGGCGCAGTGTTGTGCCTACTCGTGGGCTGTGCCATTTCTCCGCAATTCCAAATTGACATTGAACTACCTGGTCTTGTGCAACCGTAGATAAGCATGTGATGAGTCGTTCCCATCGTTGCATTTGGCTCGAAACCAGTTATATAGTAATTTTTTGTATAGTCTATCTTGATCGGAGTACATAAGTACAGTTCGGGCTATGAAAACAAGGAAGTCATTTTTATATCCCATTGTTTATTAAATTACTATAATAGAAATTAAGTATAAACTCGCAAGCATATGGTCGATCTTTCCATTAGTTCATTCGTGTGTATCGTGAGAAACATATGTTAGAATATTGCCTAGACATTGATTAAGTGCTGCGTAAAAAATCATAACAATATAAGTACCTACCGTGTTCGGCTTCACGTTCGGCATGAGAAGAGAATACTTCTCGGCGTAACAACGCGTAAACTTCAGGAAAATCGCGAGACAACATATCAATACACGTTTCTTCCACATTTTCGAAAAACGATATATCAGTCACACGTCGGATTTTATGAGTCTACGATAAAGTAACCACCTGTCAAATGCTACAGGTCGGTCGATATGACACACCGACTGCAATCGAACTGCGTGACGTAAATAACAAAAGGGTACGCAGAAGTGTGTTTGTGGAGAACTTCACGCCAGCAGCGACATCCTGCGAGAGCGCGCCACGAGAACGATTTCAAACATGTCAAATCGAATTTTCGAATGAAATTTTCAAATCGCTCAGCTCTTAGCGACTTCCTGATTGTTACTTAACCTATTATCTAATTCTTACCTTCGATACGTATATTAAATATACGTTAAGGATGGATAATTAGTTACTTAATTAAAAGTTAAGTTCAAAAGTGAAAAAGTTAATAACTTTAATTTAACTTGGTTAATTTTTAACTTAAACTAGTTAATTAAAAATGCATTAACTTTAACTTGTTAAATTTGTTTTGAATTAAAATAATTCATCAATGTTAAAATTATTGCGTGCTGCTTGCGATATAAAATAACAGAAATAAGAAATAATGCCAGCAGAATTCTTTTGTCTCTTTGAGCATTAATACTTTTTTCTTATACCTTAATGACTTAAATGGGATATTGTTTAATAGATCGCGACAAAATTAAAATACAACCGCTTGCGCATCGTTTATTCCAAATATTATAATGAAATATCCCTGCAAATTATGCAGTTATTTCGCATATTTCAAAGTAACATGTCGAAGACTGTAATTATTTTTAGCAATTAATTGCCCAATTACGTTGAATCAACGATCTCTTATGTACATGTATATCTCAGCGCATAAATACCACGCTAATATTTCCGTGGACGGATAAAAATTGAACTGAACCCGAGAGGATGTTTCCCAAATGCGAATACTTCAGATACGAATAATTCGCGATCTCGACCTAAGCGCGTGTGTGTGCTTGCACCAATTATATTTCTTACACGATATTAAAATATCTCAGAACGAAGTATATGAGACTTTTGCGCTGAAGATTCATCGCGTGAAACGTTCAGTTTCGCAGAAGTCCGAGGATTCCCGTTCGTTACGTCGTTTTTGAGAAACATCAGCTCGCGATAAAATTGACCTGTACACGGCACGCGCTACAGATGCTGCGTCGTGATGTATTGACCTGCCGATGCGACGAAGTTCGCCCGAGCGTCGCTGATGCCGATGCAGTTTATCTCTTGTTGATGAATATGTCACGAATCTGATCCGTCAGCCACTCAATGGCCGGCTGCAGACCTTCGCCGGTTAACGCGTTCGTTGCACGTATGTGCCACGGCTTGTTCTGTATGCGCTCGAGTCCCAATCCCGCGACTAACTTCACAGTAGTCAGGGAATCGGGCAGGTCCATCTTGTTCGCCAAGAAGAGTATGGGTATTTTGCGTCCTGGAACGTTTATCGTTCGAATATTCGGAAATCTTCGGAAATCTTCGTGAGAAGCGCGAGCGGTCGACGTTGGTAAACGTAGCCTATCGACGAATCAGAAGCTCAGATTCGAAATTTCGTTGTAAGTTTGAAAGTGACGAATAGCGGCGCGAGGGCGAAACATACTTGGCCGTTAATTCGAGAACCTAACTTTTTCCAGATCAGTTCGATAATCTATTCATAAATACGAGGTTCGGCTGAACCAGCTTGCACTTTTTGCTTTTGGAATGAAAAAAATATATGAATTGAAGGAACGAAGTTCCAACGCAACACTAGTTCAACTAAAAAGAACAGACGCACTCCATTGGCTGCGGAGCATCTGAAGATGAACTTACGACGGTTTTAAGTATAAGACCTGACTATGAATATCGGATATTGTGTTTGAAAATGTTATGATGAACTAACATATTTTTCACTTCTATAATTTTAAATAAAAAAATATTCTAATTTCTTTCCTTTCTTATTATTCTAAGTAAATGTCCATTATATCACTACAGGGTAGCTTTATTTTTCACTGGTCATTCATATCGACAATATAACATACCTGCTACATCTGGATGCTGCAGAAGCATGTCCAATTCTTCTTTCACGACAACCAGTCGGAGTTTATCGCTACTGTCAATGATAAAGATAATTCCATGGCAATCCTTGTAATAATGTTCCCACAACGACCTGTGACGATCATGACCGGACATATCAAACGCAGTAAAATTGACATTTTTAACTGAAACAATAATTTCGACTTACTATATCAAAAAACAGAAACAAGATATTAATACTAATATATATCATTCATCATTGCATAGGTTTCTCATAAATAATTTCACTTGCATTATATATATTTCCGTGCTTCGTGTGCATTTTAGTTGAAAAAAAAGCTTAGCGATATGTAATGTTTATGTGTGATGACACCATCTTAATTAAAATCTTACAATTTACTTTTTGATAACATATATGGGATTCATTATTAAAACGTAAAAGAATAATTAAATAGGTTTCACGTAAAAATATGTACTTTTTTAATAAAAGATCATCTTGAGAGTAGCGAAAACACCAGCGCGCCATCTAACAGAACGAAAATGTCATACGGAGTAGAAATATCTGAGAATCACTGAGAGACGCGAGACTGAATTTGGCGCGAATTTGTCGTAAGTTCGTTGAAAGAATTTTCCTGCGGTATTCTTGCTAATTAACGATTCATCCAAGCAAGAAAATGCAGTCTTCTTCGAACAAGAGTACGGGTGATAAAGTGGCGAATAAAAAAAAATCATCGTTAAAAGGTCAAATATCCTAACCCCAATATGTCAACACAACGTCGAAACAACTGATCTTTTTTGCATTTTTAGGTAAGAACATGGAGAAAGAGAAATTGCTGGAAGAAATACGAATGCTGAGATGTATGATCGAACAGGGCGAATGGAACATGGAGAAGTTGCGATTCAAAGACGTGGAACACACGATTGAGCCGCGAGACACACAGATCTTACGCGTTAACAGAATACCGAATGTCGAAGTCCAACTGCAGAATGATTTGTACAGATTCGCTGGTTTCCATTGCGTCAAGTTTAAACGGTCGGAAATTGTATTTAATTTTGTGTCGACTAACGAGCAACAAAAGGACAACACTTACGCTGTACAAATCTTGGCAAAAGATGGAAAAGGCAGTGTGGGAAAATGGGTGATGCCAATGTCAGTTGATATGAATCAAATATCGACCAAGATACCGATCGACAATTTAAGAAACTTAAATGCTTTCTTGAAATATTGCAAGCACAATATCGATTGCTACATCATACGACAAGAGCAGTATTTGTCGTTGAAGGTATGTTCGTGACATATATGAATACAAACAACATATATAAACTTGTCTCAATGGCTAACAAATAATATATTTGTCTTAGGAACATACTTTGCATATGAAACACCTTGCTTTACATTCTAATATAGGATATATGGAAATTAATCTCGAATTGTATGGTGTATACGATAAGGAGGATGATAAATATATAGATTTGATTGTATACTTATTGTACCATTCTGATGAAGCAAGACCATATAAGGTCGAAGTTGACACAACAGCGAAGAAGAAGCTAAGTGACGAAGCAAAGCAAAGATTGAAAATATACTTGAAGGAGTTTAAATTATCCGATCTGAGAACTGCATTTGATAAAGTGTTCATGAAAAATAATTCTGCATTTACATGGACGCAAGCAGACGACAGTGATAGTCCATTGGAAATTAATGTATGATACTTTATTGATAATATATAAATTTAAAAAGATAGATAATATCTTCTGGTTGTGTGATTAAAGTATGTTTAATGATTATTTTATTTTCAGGACACTAGCATCTCCGACGAAGAAGGCTTTTTAGAACAATTACAGTCAGAGCGAAAGAAATCATTAAGGGAAGCCAAAAGGAAACGTATACTGCAGAATAAATGGAACGAAAGGAAAAAGCAAAAACGTTTTATGGAAATTGGTACATCATCAGAAGATAATAGAAAAGGAGAACAAAAAGATAATAGTAATGATAATGCTCATTCAATGGTAGAAATATCACATACTGAAAAACCACGTCAAATTTCAGTAAATAAGGAAGGAACTGAAGAAGCTGTATCTTCCCTAAAACAACAAACTAATGAAAACCAACTGGAACAAACCCCGATGAATAAATCTAAAAGTAAATTAAAACAGACAAAATTAAATTTCCAAGCTGCCCGATCTGCAAATTCTGACAATGTATATAAAAAGTTGTCCCAAGCAAAACCACACAGTAAATTTAACAGCAAGAGTCAGAAAGCAGCCAAGTTGATCACTAGTACTCCATTGAGGTACTCCATGGCTCCTCGTGTCATATCTACTTTGGAGATTGATAATATTACTGAAATTATATCTCCGCCAAAGAAAGCAGCAGGTCATTCAAATAACTCGAAGAACAGTCAGAACTTAAACAATAAAAAAACTTGAACAAAAATCCCAGAGCCAGTGAGAAAGAACGCTAAGGTAATTAAATGATTGGCAAGTACACATACTGTGAAAGATGTTAAATTCAAAACCTGAAATATGAAAAATTGAGAAGTAAAATATAAAATTATTTATAAATACTATTTACAAAAATAAAAATTAATATAATTTACATACGTAATAATTTAAAATATAATTTACAAACATAATAATTATAAAATAATGAAGCAAACCTTTAATAGAAAGTAACTATAGATATTTCATGTATTTTTTATCCTTTCTCTCACACACCTTCGTTGTACTATAATATTTGCAATACATTTATTTTGATTCCCACGCGACTGATGATATTTTATTGTAAATAAAATACAGTGCCATAAACTCTGATTGTACTTTTATGCGGGTGCGAAACATGTGAAAACAATTATTGAAAGCAATCAAATTTCGAGGCGTCTTTGACACTTTTGTCGCTCTTCGCTATTTAACTTACATGCGAATTTTTCGACATTAAACCCGACAGTGGGCACTATGTCTATGCAACGGTCATCCTCGCGTTTGAAATTATTTATGACCGTCGACTTACCACTGTTGTTAAGGCCCACTACTAAAACGTTTACTTCCTTTTTCTTAAGACCTAAAAGGCTCGCTAAACGATCGAATAACCCCATTTTCTCCCGTCGTCGTGAGCTCTTTCGCGTCTATCGGACATCAATAATCATCCCCCATGTATGTTCAGACTAACCGCAGAGTAAAGTGGGGGGTGAAACCACCCCTTTTACTTCTTATCTACACCCACATTGCCAACTAGAATTTGGTAATAAAACCAGCAGCGCACGGTGTTCATTTTCGTGCTGGGTTTCTTGTTGGATGGAAATACTGCGTTCTGATTGGTGCATTTTCAAAAAAATGCATGGAAATACACCAATCAAAATACAATATTTAAGATTTAAGATTCATATTTAAGAACCACTGGTGTAGTGTATGTTCAGTATTGCCATTTTAAATTGTCAGAAAGAGTGTTCGAATAAAATATCTCACTTTTTCTTACCTTATGAACGTTGCACACGATGAGTGATAAGCGATATTCAATAAGAGCTTTGATTTTCTTGAAAAGAGAACTATTACTGCTTATGGCAATATGTGAAGACCTTAAAGGCCTATGCACAATAAAAACCATAGACAGGAGAAACGGAGAATATTGGTATTTTCTAAAAATGCACCAATCAGATCACAGTACGATGACCTGAGCCAGCAAATCGAAAATGTTATAACACAAACAATAGATTTCCAACGTATTGGAAACCGTGTATCAATTGCTGTTGCACTGATATATGGTTTCCGATAGGTTGGAAATCTATTGCCTGTTATTCTCTGTTCCTGTTACCTATGGTTTTCATTGTGCATAGGCCTTTAATAGCTATTGGAAGCTTCAAGGCTATTCTCCACACGCCATCTTCCGAGGTGTAAAAGTTATTATACGCTACAACTGAGTATTGTAATGAATGTACTGCCGCAGTAAGCGTGCTATTTTAAGAAAATCCATAGTTTATTAATGGTTTATTGACGAACTTAGTCCCAGAAGCACGTGTGTATACCTTGATTGCCAAACAAAAATTTAATATATTAAAATGGTAAGTCTCAACGTGCATCGGGAAACATGTTTTTCATGCACTTGTGGATTAGGTTAGGATAAGCTGTATATATATACGATAATAATTTTATTTCAGCCGAAAGGAAAAACGAGGAGATTTATCGACAAGAAGAATTCTGTCACATTTCATCTGGTCCATCGTTCACAAAAGGATCCATTAGTGGCCGATGAAACAGCACCGCAGAGAGTACTCGTACCAGCTGGCGACACACAAGCTGCTAAAATAGAAAAAAAGTCAATAGATAGCGAGAAACGTAAAGAGGAGCAACAGAAATTTGGGATCTATTATGATGATGACTATGATTACCTGCAACATCTCAGAGACGTTAAATCACTTTCGGTCGAATGGCAACGTGTTGAAAACACAAATGTTTCCAAGAATTCCGATGACAAGGACATTCCCAAAATTAACTTACCATCTTCTGTATTTGCTTCAAATGTTGAGGAAGAGGTTGGCATGCTCAATAAAGCAGCACCAGTTTCTGGGCCACAGTTACATCTTGATCCAGATGTGGTTGCTGCAATGGATGACGATTTTGACTATAATGACCCTGAGAATCAATTAGAGGATAATTTTATTGAGTTGGCTAATGCTGGAAGTAGTGACGATGATGGTTTCAATAGAGAATATGGTAAATTTACTAAGAAGTGGTATGTGCATATGTATGTTCATAAAAAATCTTTAAAATATTGTCTTTTCAGAATATGAATTGAATGAATCAGACAATGATTATGATAAATCAGATATCTCTTCTGAAGGTTATATGGAATTCTCTGATGAAGAGGACGAAGAAGAAGAGGAAGTAGGCAGCTTGAAGGGGCCTCAGTATACCTTTAAGGACGAGGAGACAAAATCACGGTTTACAGAATACTCTATGAGTAGTAGTGTGATGAGAAGAAATGATCAACTCACACTACTAGATGATAAGTTCGAGAAGGTATTTGTATTTCTGTGTTTCATCATATTATGATAATGTTATTGTAATCTCTATTTGTTCTTATAATTATTTAGCTGTATGCTGCGTACGACGAAAATGAAATTGGTGCTTTAGATTGTGACGAAATAGAAGGATATATTGCACATGACTCAGATCTTGTATTGCAGTGTGCTAAAGAATTTGAGAAGAAACAGAAAGAAGATGTAAGTACAACACAATATATACAATGGAAATATACAATGAGATATATAAATATATGTTTTTCCGTACTTGTAGACAGAGAATATTGCAGAACTTATGAAAGAAAGAATGAAGATTATAGAAAAAGAAAGTTCAGATTCAGAAGATGAATGTGATTTAGAAAAGCTCGTCGTTGATGCCCATGAAAGGGATAAATGGGATTGTGAGAGCATTCTTAGTACATATAGTAACATTTATAATCATCCTAAATTGATTCCTGAACCAAAGGTAAATTATTTAATAATATTGCGGACATAATAAATATTATATGTAAATTAATTGTGATATTTAACTCTAGATGTATGTTTATATTTACATTTCTGTATTACGATTTTATATATTTATTTTCTTTTTCTTTTAATAGCGTTTACAGAAAATGATAATTGATCCAAAAACTGGTATTCCAAAAAATGTACTAGGTAATACATCTGGGAAATTAACAGCTGAAACGTTAAGCCGATTTAATTTTGAGAGTAATACATTAGAATCAAAAGGTGTGCAATCTGTAGCAGAAAGTAGGAAATCTACCTTAAGTATACTAAGTGTAAGACCCAAAGGAGAAACTTCCAAGGAAAGGAGAGAAAGGAAAAGGTCACTCAAAGAGTACAGAAAGGTATGTAATTTTATTAAATACTTAAATTTGTAGTACAATTATTTCTTGCGTATTAAATAATTTGTCCTCTTTTAGGAAAGAAGGATAGAACGGAAAGCAAATACAGAGGCGTTTAAGGAGGAAAAGAAACGCCAAGAGAAGGTTCGGTTGAATAACAGGTTATTCATCCGCCATGGATACCATGTACTGTAAAATTTCCTGTAGAGACCTCTCGTAGACCGAAACGCGACTTTACAGTTTGGGTTTCAATATCATGTGTAAAAAATACACACCGTTGTATATTGAAGACTTTATCTAAAATATGATAACCCTTTGCGTTGGCACTTATCTGCGGTTTAGAATGTGTGTATTTAATTTGGAGAGAACGAAAATACAGGGGAAAATTGTTTAAATGTGTACCGGTCATATAAAACTTGTCTTATTGTTTCCTGCAATTATTATTGAATATAAGCGCGGTCTAATGATCAATACGTGAAATAAATGAGAAATATAATCAAAACTTCAATATAATTAATATAAATTAAACTGTAATTAATTGCATTGCGTGTTTTCTGTTTGAGATATAAACATTAAAAAAATTCTTTAAGTAGTGCAATTTTGGCAATTCTATATCATAATATGCTGAAACATATTCTCTATATGTCAATGTATACCTATCTTATACAATCTCGTTTTTTTTTAAACTTATTATTGCGAAAAAATCAAATCAAATCAAATTTGTGATCAGTAATTTGCACATTTGGTTCATGAAAACAATATCCAGGAGACGTTATTCCAACGCAAGGGTGTTGAGTATACCTTTTACAAAAATATACAAAAATAATATTTTACTAAGTCCTAATTTTTCTATATATTACAACTGTATATATAAGAATATATATATGTAATATATAAAATGGAGCCAATGCTTATATATATTTTTCCTCATGAATGCCAAAATCTCTATCCGTTTTCCCATATGCCGACCCACCCGATCGGAAGGAACTGGAAAGGTGCGTAAGGGCGGCTCGTGTTTAAAATTGGTTCGACCTGTCGCAAGATTTCACGATATGACTTTTTCGATAAGTCGAAAGAAGAAAATATATAGAATACGTAGTGGTATCGCGCAGCAGAAGACGGAAGAGGAGAGCGGCCACGTGAGAGCACGCGACGCGGACGGAGCGCCGTCGTATCAAAGGCGGGGCAGAGGGCGGAAGCTCCCAAGTCATATGATCGATTCACGATAGCTCGCCGTTCTCCACTCGCTCATCGCAAAGATGGCCAGCCAGACGCAGGGCATCCAGCAGCTCCTGGCCGCTGAAAAGCGAGCCGCGGAGAAGGTCTCGGACGCCAGGAAACGTGAGTGCATCCGGTGTGCTGTGGCGCGCCGTAAAATTCTGTTGCGAAACGCGACGCGACGTTCGCTCCGCCGCCCCCCCCGGGTTGTAACCTTTCGGTCGCGACGATAATCCTCGTTGAAACTGATATGAGTGAGGAATTTTCGATACCTCATGCGCAGCGACGTTGCGAAACGTGAGGAGAGTGAATTTTGCAATTAGCGATTACGCGCTGACAGACGAAATTGCGGTGATTTTCTGCGGGATAACCTTGGCGAACCTGCGCGTGATCCATCTGTGTTGCTAATAATTATATCTGCTAAATTTCGTTTGAATTATAATCCGTCGATTACGACACTTTATTTGGGAGAACCTTGATATTTCGCATTGATTTCCCTTCAAGGTTTCATTTATCTGATCGTGCGTATAGGTGTTTTGTCTCAATCGTTAAATTTCCTTTAGAAACTCATATCGATACGTGTTGATGGTAATGAAATAATATCAAATGTAAGTTAAACACATATGTAACACCTTGCAAATAACTTTGTGAAGAAATAAGTGACGTACTAAGATTTTCCATGTATCTTTGCAGGCAAAGCACGTCGTCTGAAACAGGCTAAGGAGGAAGCCCAGGATGAAATTGAGAAATATCGGCAGGAACGGGAAAAGCAGTTTCGTGAATTTGAAGCCAAGGTAGCTACTATTTCTACGCCCCCTAATTATCAAGATCTTAACTTTATCTAATCATGATATTAAGTTTGATTAACAATTTAACAAAGTTACTATATTCGTAATATTGTAGCATATGGGTTCAAAAGAAGATGTAGCGGCACGCATTGAGGCGGACACGCGAGTTAAGATAGAAGAAATGAATCAGACCGTTGCTGTACACAAAAATACGGTAAGCTACTCGTGTAAATCCGATAAATCCGATTAATCGACTGTAGGTAAGCTGAACTCAAGCGAGAAATCATGACGTTTACTCTCTGTGCGATTTACTTAGGTCATGCTTAAGATCTTGGATTTGGTGTACAACATCAAGCCGGAATTGCACACCAATTACCGCATTGAGGTCTAAGCCACGAGAGAGTCGCATCTATATATAATCGCTATAAATATGATACATCTTACGCTATAAATGTACATTGAATATTACTGTTCACTTATAACATATCGTGATACGTATTTATCGTTGTTACATCGTACGACATGTTATATTTTAACGGGGAAAACAAAAGGTATACAATGTAGCTGTGTAGGCAGTGATACTCAAACTACTACTAGAGTTCTTTCTTTTCCCGCAGTTGCTACACGACAATAAATGTAATCGTTTGTTATTATCTGCTGAGCTTTTACTGGCACGTCGGACAGTTTGAGAATTGCTGTAACCTAGTTGCATCGTATATAACGCGAAAAAAAAGAAGAAAATATAATATAAATGTACCAAGCGGGAATCACCGTCCGCCCGCTGTGCCAAGGCCTAGGCACATCGAGACGACGGTGATGCGCTTGTTAAGATAACAGCTAATGCGATCTAAAGGTGGTGGTAACGAGTTGTATGTAGTTAAATGTATACCATTAGATGTCATTCCATAATTCTGTCGCATCGAGGACGTGTAACATAATGAGGTTGTCTACAGCCTTTCGCGGTTCACGGACAAGCTCCCAGTCGACGGTGGACCACGCGACGATGTAGCAACATTTTTAATTTTCCCTTCGCCGGGGTCATTTTGAGAAGTTCATTGATCATCATATAAATCTCTATGAAACGGGTAGCGCTTCGCTTCACATGTATATTCTATCTCTGTAAGCTGGTTGGTTGTCTGTACAGTATTAGTGTTCAAAATACAAAAAAGGAAGAAAAAACCCATACGAGGCAGTGTGATTCTCTCGTCCTTCTCTTACACTTTAAAAGCTACTGCATATACGTACTCATTATTAAGTAGACTCGATGCATTTGAATTATTTAACTGAATTGATGGAGTATTCTGGGAAAGAGAACGTCGATAAGAGCTCATATATTCAGGAACACAAGCTGAATTAAAAATTTATCCTGCATGTCGCGTATGAAAACGAATTTTAAATATTGCAATGGAGATGTTGCATACATGCTCTTTCTTTATTCGATCATGCAAGCGTTGCGTTTAATATTTTATTCGTCACAGAATTATGTTCCCGATAATCACGTCGTCTTATTTTCGTCGTCGTTTATTGAGTGTTATAAGAAATGTATACCTCGCGTGATACATTCATTAAGCGTCAAAAACAATTCATGTATACCACTTTTGCCGATTATAAATTACTTATGTGAAAGTTCAACGATGCGATGACCTGTTGTTGCGATCCGTATGTTACGTGCACCGATTTGCGGTCTACGAAAATATTCACCACAATCGTTAAAACCCGCATTAATTTCAAACAATTATTAAACCATAATTGAGTGGATGGATGGATTAAACTATAACGTAACATAACCATCTAATTGTGTGAAACTGAAATCACATATTAATTAACACTAACCAGACGCTGACAGAGCTATCAATTAAAATCAATGTATTACTTTTTGCAATTCAACTCGAAGCGCGTTTTAGAGCTGGAAGAGATCCATCTTCCGTTATATGTCGCCTGAAATGTCACAAATCCTGATTAAATATCAACGGTAACGGGGTCGTTCGCCTGACCATTGTACCGTAGATTTTAAGATTACATCTACTTGAATAATTTACGTATTGTTAACACGATGTTTACACGGATTTTTTTTTATGTAGACAATGTTAACTAAATGAAATATTCTAAATTACAAAGCACCGTGCAAAGAGAACGGATAAATTATTAGTTTAAATAAAATATTTATAAAATTATTAATTTTATAAAATAGGTTGCGCATCCAATTTTTGTGTTAATCATGAAGATATTTAATATCAAAAACTGAGAAGTTAATATACGCAGGTAACATAGAAATTTTATCATTTAGATTCATTTCTTGGCTTTTAAATGGGAAAAGGCAGTGTTCCTTCCCAGTAAGCAAGAAACATTAAATCGATCTTTTGAAATATTAATTTCATGTGGATTTTATAAATATTTTGACATTTTAAATGTTTTTAAACTACTATTTGATAATGTTCCTAAATATTAAAATCATAATGTACACAGTAAAAGATTTTGTGTTAAAAACGGTCAGAAATTTTGAAATGTTTATATCGCTTTAGCAAGGTGAATATTTAAAAAAGTAATATGTTAAAAGAAGAATATGTTAATTTAACGTATATTAGAAGAATATGTTAATTTAACATGTATTCGAGAAATATATATTCAAGATATAAAAATATTTCAAAGTATAAAAATAAGTATTATATAAAAATAAATTTTATGAGAAGCAAGAAGAAGACGAGCTATTCTATAACGGTTATTTATTATCTACACAGACGATATGTCACACATAGTTAACATTATCTACAGGCAGACCGTTGTAAGGACTTGACGCGTAAACGTCATCCTGCTCTCATCACATACAGGAAGGGTACAATTTATATTTCATATTTTGTGCTGAGAAATATCAAAATTAAAATTAAAATATCTCTAAGAGTATTCATTTCTCGATGATCTTACCGTAATACTTTTATACGTAGAACGAAAAGAGGGATCGATTTGTTTTAAGAAAACTCTGTGACTCTATTAAAAACAAAAATGAACTAGACCGTTATTTAACATGAACGCCAGCCAAGGTCAAGCTGATAATATCAGTAAATAGATCTTTTTAAACCTTATTGCTTTGCTCACGAGATATTCGATTGTATCCAGACTTTCGTACCCACCCTGTATACGCTCATTCGACTGGGAGATGCGCATGCGCGCCTCGTCGCTGCAGCGGTGGGAGCGATCAGCTGTACGCGTGCCTAACCTCTCCTCACTCGCGAACGTGTCGTGCTTCGGAGCGGCGGTACATTCCCGTGTTACGTGTGTGTGTATGTGCGCGCGCGCCCGCTCTCACGATCGTCTGTTCTTGTCCGACGTTAGCGGCGGCAACGCCAGCGCCACTCGATAGCGGCCGGAAGGCGATTCGATTACGCGAACTGAGCCGCGGCAGCGCAGCGCGAAGAGCTAGCTGGTCAGTGCGTGTGGCATTCCGCGCCGAGAAATGGAAGCCGACGAGACGCGTTCGGTCAGTACGAGCGTGAGCACGTTGCCGAGGTCGCCTGTAGTAGCGCGCGACATCGCAGTGACAGCTGTGCACGTAGTCCGCTTTTGAGTTTGTTATGACAAAGAACGTATCACCGACCGGTCGCCGACCATCAGCAGCCGCGTATCCGGAGAAGAAGGAGAGACCGTCGTCGTTGTTGTTGTCGTCGTCCCCCTCGTCGTTGTAAACGTGCGCGTCGCGATCCCAGTGTGTTTGATTCTTCTTTCTGTTCCACTTCTCGTGAGGAGGAAACGGACGACGAGGGATTAGGAAGAGGAGAACGAATCAAGATTTGAAGGCCGCCGGAAGAGGAATCTCACCGGGGGGAAGATGTGGTGCCTCGTCAGCCAAGCCAACTCCGTCATCCTCGAGGTGCAGGTCGACCCGAAGGCCATCGGCCAGGAGTGTCTTGAAAAGGCAAGTTTAAGTCCTTTCTTCTTTGTTCCGACCTGACGGAGCACGCTCCGGTTTCGTGCGTCCCGAATCGAGAATCGCGATCTCGCGATGTAAACAATGGCGGTGACACACACGCCGCATTTCGCGCTGGGAATGCGCGCTCGCGGTTAATCGTCTCGTACTTATTCTCTGCGTGCGTTAAACGCCTCGCACTTACATCGCCTGCAATATTCGTGTCAGGCGCACAATACAGCTCGAGAACTCCGATGCGAGATTTGGCCGGCTCCAAGAGAACGGGAGTCTTTCAGTGTCGGTGACGCGTTATCTCAACGGTCTTTTCCGCGGCAACTTCAGAACGGTCTTTATGTCGCGCTCGTTCTACATTCCGAATTGACTGTGCCATTACTCATGAAGAAGCGTGCGCCTTCAGATACGTTAATTCTTTTTTTCCGGTTTTTTTTTTAATTGACGTCTACGAGCGGTTTCGTATTCCGAGTTTCGATTTGAACGTTCAAACGTGCATGTGTAAGCGAACAATGAAAATACAATGGAACGGAGGAAAAAATGATGAGTCATTTTAATGGAAAAACCGAAATGGAAGCTTCGTATCGAGAAGCGTATCCAACTTGAGATTCAGCCGACTCTGAGAGTACACGAGAATCTTTCAATGTCGAAGACGCGTTATCTCAACGGTCTTTTCTGCATGCTGCGGTAACTTCAGAGCGTTCTTTTATGTCGCGCTCGTTTGAAACTCGGAATTTTTGGCTTTATTGTTATTCATCAAGAATTCGCGACCTCAGACACGTTCTCTTTCAGTCTCGGTTCAACTGACGTTTACGGGCAGTTTCTTATTCCGTGTTTCGGCTTGAACGTTGGAGAATGTGTATATAAATAATTTAAATATCTTCGGAGGAAAATATATGATATACGATGGATTATTATAATGGAGAAACTGAATCTTCATATCGAGAAGCGTTGTATTTATCCCTAGTGTTTAAACATCGAAAATTCGGACTCCATGCATCTCGCGTAACAATAACTCGACAGAAGTCACTTTGAATATCGCATTTAGTATCGCCATCGTTTACGCATGTTTCCGTATTACCGAAGCCACAAGTAGCTAATACTTATTCAAAGAGACCGATACCTTAGCCGCACAATTCCCCTTCCTTCGCGATCACGAGGATGATTCATCGCTTAAACTCCTCGGTTGGAGAACTTCCAGCGTGATTCAGGTTGGTAGGTTTGCCCGCGCTGCAACTCGAACGTAACGATGCATCCTCGCGATATGCAAAGTGCACCATATTTTTTTCACCCCGAGAGGTGTAGCATCTGCGATTTCGCGTGAAAGCGCGCGATGATAGGCATGAAACGATAATTCGCGTCTCCGATGTCGTAGCTGCGACTTTCGATTTGCAAAAAAAAAAAAACGAGGAAAGAAACGAAAGGGAAGAAGCAAGGAAGAAATCCGATCCGGCGAACGGCAGGCATGAAATGCGAATCACGAGCTTCCGCGCGTCTTCTTCTCGATCGACTGAAAAGGCGGATCACGATTCCTAGAATCTGCAAATTACCACTGCTAATGAGAGAGCATGAAATAGCGTTCGATCGTTAATTCGCGTCTTTCCGAATGACTGCCGCGAATGCGCGCGCTCGCGGAATCGATCGACGGTGCTTGATATCGATTCGGATCGCGACGTGCACGCGCGACGATCCGTGGAGGAAAGTTTCGCGCACCGGCAAAGTTTACCTTTGACGCCGCCGGGCGTTCTCAGATTCGGTCCCGGGAAACTTCGCCGCCCGATTGCCAACTTTCTCCTCTTCGACCCCCTCAACGCGACCTCAAAATAACGTGTCGTTCGACCGTTCGTTTCACGTTAATTCGAAGGATTTTCGCGCGCGACTTGATCTCCCAACGTAACGCCGCCTGGATCCGTCACGCCTAACAGAGTTGTGATTTTAAGTAGATTTAAAAATTTCGTCTACATGGATAGTTTACGTATTGTCTACGTAATGAATTAATGCGTCTCGATGAGTCACGTTAGAGGATTATTATCGGTTAAAAACTGCGCCTCTAAAAATACGGCGTGAGCTTAACTTTGCTCTCTTCAGCGAATCAGTTTCCAATTAAATCAGTGGAATATATTCCATCGGTATCAATGAATACTCACTGATTTTCAGTGAATACACCCCCCCCCCCCACTTAATTCCTCTTTTAGTCTTACACCGTTGATTTTGATTAGTGAAAGTAAGATTTCACTGTAAAATCTGTAGTATTCGTTATCGGAGAATCTTCTCGTCAAAGCGCGGTATGTTCAATCTTTGCTTACACAGATTCTCCGTGATAAACGATACATCAAGGAGATCTTCGTTCTCGACGGGTCGCAGGTAAACGGTAGATATTACCTTATCTCGTGGACATGCAGCGTATTTTTATACGTTCGTGTCAAATTTATTCGCCTGTAAATTCGTGCGGCACATAATACGCACGCTCGTAACGTATACACACAGAGGTCGGCAAGGGTTGCAGTCTTTTTCTTCGGTGACTTTTGTAACGCATCTCGCGCATTCAATAGGAATATCTTCTGAGAATTACTAAAAAAATTCTCCTTAGACACGCGATGCGTTGCGAAATTCGTCGAAAATAGTGTTGTAATCTTTAATTGACCGGCTATATATATATATATATAATTAATTTCTTATTAATAACCCTTTTTAAAGCTCATATATCGTTCCTGATGAAAATTTTTCTTGTCCAAATAAAATTGGCCGTCGAGAAGTATAACTTTCTGAGTGCATATAATTGTATACATCGAACGTTTAAGATATAAAAATGAGAAAATATTAAAATTGTTCTGTCTAAAAAATATCTATTTTCACTGGTTTATGACAGTTGTTGAAAAACATTGGACAAAATTTTCATAAAGAGAATATACTTATGTTTGTCAAATAACTATGTAAATCCGAGCGTTAAGAATAAGGTTATAAAATAAGTAAAATTTGCGCCGTCCGTTTCGATATGCGACTCATTCCTGTATTTCTCACATCACTCGATACATAATAATTACGTCTAGTGGATAGATCTTGTGCGAGCCAGTTGGTATTATAGAGAGAGGGAAAGGAAGAATTATCTATTTATTTATTGTAAGGATAAAAAATGAGAGGCAGTTCGCTAGCATCAAGAATATGTCCTATTTTACGCCAAGACTTTAATGGTTTAATGTGTTTCGGCGTCGGACAAGTTGCGAACGTGCCTCGGTTTAGGCCGTAGCTCACGTGCGCAACAGATGCCGCGAAAACACACGGGCGGCGTGATCTGAAATTTCACAATGCTGCCGCGAACCCCGTCATTGAAGCAACTGTAAAAAGATTTTTCGAAAAATTTCTTTCGTATATAATCTTGTACGCGGAAAAAATTCGATTCGTGCAATTGATTTCTGCTAGGACGGAAACTCGGTAGTAGGAATAGAACAATCCCCGTGGAAGATCTCTAACTAGTTAAATGTTTTCAGTTATCGCAATCGAATTTCAACACAAGCCGAGGACTAAGACGAATGTTTTCATATAACATAACATAGATAACAAAGATATCATTCTCCGTTATCAAGTTTTCGTCCGTTTTCCAATCTGTTGTACGATCTGAGATTTTGTTCTCCGGTGTGTACACGGAAAAAAATCTCGGTTTGTGTAACCGATTTTCCGTTGCCTGGAAACCAGACGAGAACTCAGTGATGGGAATAGAATAATTCCCGTAGAAGATCTCGATCTAGCTAAATATTTTTAGTTATCTCAGCCGAGTTGCAACGTAGCCGAAGGTTAAAATGTTTGTTTTCATTTGCGATAACAAAGATAACGTTTCCTGTCATTTTCGTTCGTTTCTTAATCTGTTACATGAATTGAGAATTTGTTTCTCGAATACATGAAAAAGAAAATGTTCGTGTAACTGATTTTTCGTTATCTAGGGATCAGATCTCTATTCAGTCGATTGTTCTTAGTTATTTTAAGTGTGTTTTAACACGTTAATTGCCAATCACGCGATATCGCGTGATGCGAGTTCTCACCAAACGGCCGATCACGCGTTATCGCGTAATAGATATTTAGAGTACATAAATCCTATGTACATAATAATAAAAGCATATAAATAATATATTATCTTACTTTGAGCACAATAAAAACTAAATAAAAAATAAAAAAAATTTGGCCACCACACGAAATTCCAATTTTCAGCTTGGCAATGAACGTGTTAACGTGGTCAAATATTCAGACCAATATTTTCGACCGCGATAACAGAGTTGTCGTTTCCTTTCGCTAAGTTTTCATCTGATCCCCATTCTGTCACACGAACTGAAACTGAGATTCGAGATTTTTTCCGTGTACCATCTCTGCACTGCCTCTTCCAAAAATCTCCCCTCGTGAGTCCTTCTCGTGTTTCTCCACACTGAGAGTATCAAAAACTCGAGAGAAACAAAAACTGGCACCTATTATGAAAATATTCGGATAGAATTCCGATCGAAATTATTCCCTAGATTTCTATTGTGCTTTTCGGAGAATAACTGAATGATTCCGATCGGAAACTTTTCCGAACAGTTTCATAATGGACGCCCAGTTCCATAATAGATATTCTGCTGACTGAAAAAACTCGTACGTTTCGTAAAACTGCGGGAGCGTCGAATGTAGATTCTTATTACATTCACGTAATTACATCTGCGTTAAATTACGAACGAGCATTCGTGGGGGAATTTTCTGAAATTTTCATGGCATATTCGTGCGCGAAATTGTGCGTTAAACGTGTTCTTCGTTTTTGAAGGTCACGTTTCCGGAGACTCTAATGGAGAGAGTCTTCATAAAAATATCCTTTCTCTTTAGCGCATTCTGAACCAACGACGGTATCGCCCGGGGTGCGGCTCGTTTGGTTTCCATTACAAGCTCCTTATGTCGTCCGACTCGCTACATTATCATTCCTGTATGTCGCTTCGCTTTCAGCGAAGGGCGAAAGAGGGACAAAGAGAGAGAGAGAGAGA